GACCACGACGAGGTTATTAGAGCCGATCGTTTGCGCCATTGTGCATCATACCTTACCACAGATACACCTGTCACTCGATGCCTCCTCCAGTTGTTCTGCACCTCATACGATCGACCCAGGGGGACGAGGGCACCTCAGGCCACGCCACCGAGAAGCAATGAAATATACGAGCAGCGTCTTTAGTAGACTAGAGTGATAAATAAGTAGAGAAAAAAAAAGGTGTGGGGGCATAGCGGTAAGGCTGCGGGGTGTTTCCCCATAGATCGAAATAACTGGGTTAACGCACGCGCGCAACGCCCCGATATATGTTCAACGATCGTGAAGAGTGCACGGAGCCGAGGGAAGGGAAAAAAAGGAAAACGTCGCCAAGCGAATTCAGGCGAGCACAAACGAAGCCACTCTTATACGCGGGCCCCGGGTTCACTTGAAGGAACAGAGAAGGGGGGAAGAGACGAGTCAGCACTCCGCAAAACAGGGTTTTCCGCAAGATGTGTGGACGGGTGAAGCAGCGTGCCGCGCAATGAAAGGAAGTCACAAGGCACTGCGCAACGGAGCGAATGCGAATAAAGTGCTGAGACTGACACGAAGAGAGGGTTGTCGAGATCGCCCAAAACCGCTGGACCTGAATGCAACAGGAACAGGTCACTGGAGCTCACACGACGGCTAAACGAATCGAAGGAAACCGAACAAACCCCTAGGCAACTTTCACCAAGTATATTCCATGTTTGTAAAGAGCCATAGGAGCCGTCCACATGACCACGTGACAAGTGGCACAGCGGCTGCAATGCTGCCTCCAAGAACGGAGCGTCGGGGAACCTCCCGATGCACCAAGGCAGCTTTTGTCAACTAGTGAAGTGTACTAGAATACATTATACTGGTGGGCCTCATTTTAGATGCGTGCTTGATCTCCATTTCTCTCTCTCTGTGTGTGTGCGCAGTACGGGGCAGACAAAGAGGGAAATGCGCTTTCTGCGAACCGGGAATGCGACGGCAAAATGCGTCGCAATCGTTGGTGCGAAAGCGCGTTCTTTCATGCAGCTATTCTTCGGCAGTGTAGCAACCAAACTCGCTTAACATCTTCATCATCACTTAAGTAAAACGGAGCTGTGTCTCCCACATGACATCATGATGACATAGGCACCCGGCAATGCAGTTTACGAGATCCGACGGTAGCGCCAGAACACACAGCCTTGCGAGTAGGCTCAGCAAAACCGAGTCTTCCAATGCCTAGCCTAGCGAGTAGACGCAGCAAAGCCGGACTTGCACGTGCATATTTTCTTTTTTAGTTGTGAGCAGGGGGGTGACGGCTGCTTATGTAGGCGCCCAGGAAGCGTCCTTTGAAAACTTGCCAAAAAAAGAGAATTGACACTTCAGCGTGTCACCGTGTTCAGCGAGCGTTTCATTTCCTTAGTATCCCTGGCGGTCGGTAGTACCAACAATGCTGAGGCTGCCCAAAAGCTTCGTCGCGCCCGTTGGTTCACTGTCGGGTGCCCACATCTCTCGACTTACGCCTGTCCGATCCCACGACGGCACCCGCGAACACCTTCCGTCTCACGCACACAACACACGTGCCCATAGCAAACATGCCATGTGTACACTAAGACGAGAGAAGAGAGAGAGAGTCATTCTTCGGCTTCTCCCGCCAGTCAGTCGGCGGCAATGCGGAATCGAGCCCGGGTCCAAGCAACGCGCGAAGACGACAGCAGCGACTAACAATGTGCGCGCTGGCACCCGCTAGTCCGACGCCAACTGCTTCAGCTGCCACAGAAGCGGGAGGTGAAAAAAGAAAAAAAAGACTGGAGCAGACGGCGCCGCTGATGGATTGCGAAACGCATGGGAGCTCTTTGCAGACGCCGCTACAGCTGAGCCTGGCTCGCGCACGCCGGTTCTCAAGTAAACGCGATAAAATCACCTGCTCCGCTGTACTTTCCCGCATCTAGCCAACGTCTCCTCGCTTTATACAATGTTACACGTGCAGCTGACGAGTCGCTTCCACTTGGATGAATGGCCACTTGGGGTTCTTTAACGGGCACCCAAGTCTGACACGGGCCTACAGCATTTTCGCCTTCGTCGAAAATAACTCTATACAAACAATATAAATATTTAGTTTTCGCGCCAAAAGCCTCTTCCAGCAGTAAGCCGACAGTAACAACTGTCACACAAGATCCACGACCACTGCATCGAACATGTGCAACCGTCACCATTAGTACATGCGCAAGCGCAATAAGAGGGAGAGAAGGCAAACAAACAATCGCTACAGAGGCCTCACGGGACGAAAATAAAAATGAAGGTGCATCTTTCTTTGAGTTGGCGCCACATGTTCCCCATTTCCCCGCAATCGGCATTGTACTTTTTTTTTTGTATAGAGCGGTGGCAGTATTCTGGAAGCTCCATCGCCATCGGTACAGCCGGATCGGCGAATAGATCACAACAGCGTGGCTTTGGAAAAACCCCTCCCGAACGCCCCACCACACAATAGTCGTTAATCTGCGCCGTCCAGTTTACCACAAACTAAAAACCACCAGAGGTCACTCCAGCGCAGCAGTCACTTGCCTACTCCCATCAACACTAGTGTCATTTCACTCAAACAAAGCTCGACATACTGATTACCCCCGTGCAATAATAAATCGCTTCAGTGTAAGCGGCACAAGCGAATAGAGCGACTGCGTGATTATATAAACCGCACATCGCCATGCAGGGTACAACAACGCAGTTTGTAAGCTTCGCGACCTTTAACGAGGCGACCTTTAACATAAAATGTCCCACACCAGTCAAGCAAGCACAGCTTCGAAAGCATGTTACCTACAAACCCCGTCACTGCGTTGTAAACAAAGCAACGAAGAGCTTCCGCCAACGACCCATCGTACGTCATAACGTCGGGGCGACTTCGCAACACCAGTAGCAAAAAAAAAAAACACTAAAAAGAAGGTAATACGCAACGCGCTGACGATAGAAATAGAGGAATGCACAAAGACGCAATAACGGCCCAGACGACGCAAGAGTTGGGAGGGCACGTGCCAATTCTGTTCATCGGACATCGAGGAGGCACTGAATAATAGCCTCCTGAAAGACCAACCTTCCCACTGCCCAGCCGCGCAGTTCCTCCATTTCTTCCGCGGTGTCTCGCGCCTAGCAGATGACGTGCCGCGCCCCTTACGTAACCTGGCACTGCTACACCGGTCATACAGTGAAGGTTGGGGGGAAGGGGGGTGGCACACGCAGCAGCGACTGAGGACGGCGCGCGCTTTCGGCACCCCGACGACGCTACCGGACAAACGAAACACTCCCTCACCTTGACGAGAGAAGGAGGAGAGAAGTACGAGCATCCGGAGAAAGTAAGGCGCTGAGTAACGTAATAACGAAGTGGGAGACAAGAAGAAAACGAAAGCAGAGAGAATGGGAGAGAGGCGGTGCTCGAAACGCGTTAAAAAGAGCACTGTCGACGATGACTACCGGCAGACGCGCAGCACACAACCCCTTCCTGCATAGAGAGAGAAAATAAAATACCTCGGCGGCAGTGCCCCCTCGGCCGCAAGGGCAGGAGAAGAAGAGCGGCGGATGCTTTCGGAAAGCGAAACAATAAATGCACGCAAGCAAAACAAGAGGAAGAGGAGAAGAGAGCGCCAGCTTCCGAAGGGAAAAGGTGCATCGATCCGAGACCCCCGCTCACGGCCGGCACCCCGTATTTGGGCGTTCCGGCTGCCATGGCAACCGATGCCGACGACTAGACCCCCCCCCCCCCCCCCCGGTTTCGTTCTCTCCACCCTCTTCCACGCGTCATCCCGCCGCTGCCGGCAAGCCCCGGACGTCCCTGCGACGTCACCACGTCACGTGGTACGCCGTCTCGCACGGCGGCGAGACGGCCGTGCGCCGCCGCCGCCCTCATCTCCCGCTTCTCCGCTCTATCCCGTCGATTTTGCTTTTTATTATTGGTATTATCCCAGCGCCGCTCCGGTCGCCTTCTCTCGTACTCTTTGTCTCCGCAGACGGCGCGTTTTCTGTGCCTCTGGCTGCCCAAAGATGGCGGCGGCCCCCGGAGCAGGGGCGAACGACCGGCCGGCCGGCCAGGCCCGGCGGACTGGGAGCGGCGAAACTTATTCCTTCAAGTGCCGGATATCGGAAGGGCCCCTTTCCTCTCCATCTGCCGACCGGGCGAACGAGACGCCGCGCCGCCGAAAACACCGCGTCTGGTAGCCGTCAGCAGCGTTCGTTTTCCAGGGGTCCCGGTGCGCGCATTACGTCATCGATCCGAGCCGCCCGTCACGCGTGTCGCCTCGTCACCGACGGCCTTTGCTCGACGGACGGGACTTGCGCACCTTTACCGCTTCTTCCGGAGTATGGGAGGAGAAACCGCTACAGCTTCTTACGCTAATAAGGTTACGTGTACCGGACACCTTACCAAAGGGACACGGAACAGCAGAAGTGACGCGAGGTGAAAACGAAAAGCCGTTTCCTTTCGCGTTGCAAACATTCGCGAAAGTCTATTTATGCAGAGCGGTTCGCTTGCAATAGAATGTATTCCTAATAAGCGAAAGTGCAATGTGTTACTCTTCTGCGACCTTTGCGTTTGCCCGACACGAAGATACATAAGGCATGGCAAGCACGCTTTTCTTATACATTCTCCCTAATAGACAATGAATTGAGGCTGAATGATGAAGGGAGGAGAGAAAAGGGGCAACCCTTTCCACCGTTACACTTCGGCTCCCCAAGTTGTATTCGCATAACAAGTAGCAGCTGTTTCTTCGCCCACTAAACTCTTGGCACGGGGCAGCAGGCAGGCGACCGAAGAACAAGGGGAAGAAAAAAAAAAAACTGGAAAGGGGGCACTTCGACATCGCTGAGAGGTACGATGCCCCCTGGAGGCAGAGCCAGGTGCACGCGACACCTGTCAGGGACGCAGACGGCGCAAGAAGAAACGGGCTCGAAAACTCGGAAAACGACGATGACGACGCGTAGTGGGGCAAAAGAGAAGAAAGAAACAGAAGTACGGGCAAACTCACCTTGGAGAGCTTCTCGCCGTCGTGGTGGGGCAGAAGCGTCCGCAGCGACTGGAAACCGGCGTTGATGCTCTGCATGCGCCTGCGCTCGTTGCTGTTGGCGATCTCGCGACGAATCCTCTTCTCCTGCTCCATCTGCGTCTTGGGACTCGTCGGGCGATTGCTGAGACGGCTGCGAAAACGAGAAGGGCCGCTCGTTAAAGACAAGATACGGCCGAGACAAACGCGAAGCGAACGACAAAAAGAACCACAACGCGGCATCGGGTTCGGGCGACCTAACAAAAGATAAATGGTCGGAGGGGGGCTATCTATCACTGAATGTTCTGCAACAGCTGATTGGCGCGCGACTCACGCTGCTTTGCTCGTCCGACGATTGTCTCCTCTCCGACGGGTTCCAGTCATCTCGAACGAAAGCGTCGGCAATCGTCAACGCGTAAAGTGGCACAGCGATTGGTGCAAACTCCGCAGTGCGTCAGATAAAAGGCGCTTCTCCTCCAACAAGCTGCTCGAAGTGGCTGTCACCTGACCCCGCATCACCCTCGGGCACGAGACGTCGAAGCTCACGCGAGTCGTTTGCTTTTTTTTTTTTTGTTTAATGAACCCACATTGACTCGCACGACGAGAGACGCGTTGCAAAGGCGGCGAACGAAATGGTCAAAAGCGCGAGCCCTTGTGCATTATTAGAAGCACGTGCTTTTCTAGATCGCGCGCAGGCCAACGCTCGGAACTACGGAGGTGGACCCGAATGACCCCCAAGTGCAAAGCGGAAACTTCTGACAGACGTCGTATGCGACACACAAGATGCGGAAAGGCAGCTAGCTGTGCCTAACCCCACATTCAGAAACGCTGCTTGACTTGACTTGCCACCGACTTCAGTGCAGCACAGACGCGTTTCAAACGCGCTGCATTGAAGGCAATTTCAGGTCAAAGAGCGTTTATGAATACGGGGGTAGTAAAGTCCCTACATGAAACTTGTTTTATCCAGAGACTTTAGCTACGCCGCGACAATAGCGACACCGAAAGACGCAATGAAGTAGCCAGCAAACAGATCATCGGATTGGGAAGATCAACTGCACAATATCTTAGACGAACACTAATTAGACAGCTTTAGCTGGGCGTTCCCAGAGCTGCCGAGGACGCCCATCTAAACACTGCATGATATCGCAAATCACCGAGAAAAAAACAATCGCTACGCACAACGACGCGATAGTGCTCGCCCGGGGCGTCAGAACGTTGCGATAACAACGTCACCGGATTTCATCTTGGGAGCCGACAGAACACAAGCGATCCTTATCTGGCCACGACGCAATCCTATCTGCTAATAAAGAAAATTCAAACGCTGGCTTCGGTATTTCCGTGCAAAAACCGCAAAAATTGGCCGTGGCCTTTCACGAAGGCACTAAAAAGAAGACAGCGACATCAGCGACGAGAACTCTGTGCGGCCGATACCTTCTGGCAGTTTAGCTTGTTTACTAGGCACTGTGCCATGCTGTTCTTCGATATTACAGCGGCCACAGAAACGGTCCCCAGCTTCCCTACACCCACAATGACGCTAGCGCAGTTCTTGAACCAATAAATAAATGAACTGGAGAAAGACGAGGAAACAGCGCAACCTTGTGTAAACAGCTGTCAGGTGCATGGTAGCGAATCTGAATCGGTTTATTCCGCAGCACTGCGTTACGGCGTCTAAGTCAAATCAAGCAACTAATTCAATCAAACAAAGCAATCAAGGCATGGCTGCTGACCCGCAGGTCGCGGGTTCGAATCCCGGCTGCGGCGGCTGCATTTCCGATGGAGGCGGAAATGTTGTAGGTCCGTGTGCTCAGATTTGGGTGCACGTTAAAGAACCCCAGGTGGTCGAAATTTCCGGAGCCCTCCACTATGGCGTCTCTCATAATCATATGGTGGTTTTGGGACGTTAAACCCCACATATCAATCAGCAATCAAGGCATGCGCCATGCACGAACACATTCCAATCCTCGCCCACGTTGCGTATCCTGCTAGTCAGCTAACGCAACGCTACATCGCGTTCTGTTTATCTGGAAAAATCGTTTACGACGACAAGCAGACTATATACTACGCATGGACGTTCGGTCACACAAACCACACTTTTCGACGACGTGTCACCGATGCTTGGCTCGCCGTAGCTGAAAAGTTGCTGAAGAGCTTACCTGTGACAACGCTCAGCCACCAGAACTTTAATCAGAAAAAAAAAGGGGGGAAGGGGAGAAGGTGCCCCCGGACTACGAGCCTGGCTGGTCACCACGGAAAAGAGCGCAGAAATAACCGAAAAATTGATAGCCTCAAGCATGCGCAGTTACTATTTTATGAGTGACGAGAGCACAAATATGGCGTGTTTGCGTAGCAAAATGTATCAGTTGGAAGTAGCGCTATAAGTGTGTCGTCCTTCTTGCTCCCTCCCGTCTTTGTGCGCTTGCCGGTTTCACGAGGACACCATTTTTTTTTCGCACTTTTTTTTATTATTTAGAACGTACGCAGCAAGATAGCGTAAGGGGAATTCCTCGGGCGCATCAACTTTTAATGCTGACGTCATCTTCGCGCGCTTTCCCGGCGGAACTATTTTGTAAAGGCAAAGGCAGCCGTGGCGCGACACGCTCAGGAGGTCGGCCGTGCACCGCCGACGAAGTGTACAGACGCTGCCGCACGCGGGCCAAGGCCAACGGAGTGCCAATGTTTGCCACCGGACGCATTCTGAAGAAGACGGTGCGGGGGTTAAGTCCTCCCGGAGAGGAGCCTGACCCGCGATTGCGGCTGAATCGACGGAACGTCGAGGAGCAGCTGAGGTAAGCGTCTAGACTCGCTGCGAATATCCGGCGGTTAGCTACGCGCCACTTGCTTCCCGCAGCCGACGCAGCGGTTAAGAAGATGCTTCTGCAAGACAAATCGTTTATAACCTGGCTGCGCGCGCCTAAAGTTAGCGCGAGACACCGTCGTCCACTGCCGGTTTAGAATCCGCGGCGGCACGCAGCAATAGAACGTGCTATAAAATTCAGCGAAGCGCGCACGGGCTGAAAGTTACTTGACGGTGTACGTCGACTATGCACATTTGAAGAGTCAATGGCTTAGCGAGACCGAATTTCAGGAGGCGTGGAGCGAAACAACGCGCAAGAACTTAAAACCTTGTTCAACTTCCGAGTGGCAGCTTCTTTCACACGTCTTGACACAACTAAAGATCGAAAAGACGAAGCGAGCGCTCTACAGCAAACGCACGAGGCAAATCTAACTCTGATGCAAACATCCAGGCTGTTTTTACGCTATCTGCTTGGCTCTGACGGCTTAGCGATCGCGCCGGGAAGGCGCACGTAGGTACCGAATTCGAATTCAGGACCTACGTATAGGTATCGCCGTAATCATCCTCGACATAAGTAAAACTCGTTTTATAAATAGAAATGATTTGTGATTAGCGGACGCCCACACCTCTTCATTGGTCCCTCTACTTTCAGCGGTACGACTTATCACATGCACCAAACCAACTAACCGCCAATATCATCTGTACTCTTTCTTTCACGCCTGTTCCATTTCAAAACAAGTGCCGTTCAATACGCGTTTTAACTGGCACAAACGCACCTAACAATGTGCACATAAGTCTTTTGTCTCAAAATGGCTTTCAGGAAATGCAAGAACAAAGAGCGACACGTGCGCTCTACTCCGTTTTAGCGCCGCCATTGCCGTGTTTCTAAGAAACGACGTTCGTGACATTTTTCTCATTTGACTCGTTTTTATTTGTTCTTTTCTTCGGCGCGAGCTGAAACTGGTGCTCGTCTCACCGCGAACGCGCAGCCGAGAAGGACCCCGCCATTTCGATTTGTCACGGAGAAGGGACTTTTAGCCGCCGAGTACGGCGAATAGCGTACGCTACAGCGAGAGAAGAGCAAAAGGAAATAAGGTCCGCGACGTGCGGTCATTCCCTCAGCGACACATACGTGATGCAACAACAGCGCGCGTCCACTACCCGCCACGCGACGCAACAATCGGGAGAACGTGTCGCACGACGCACACCTGAGAGAGAGAGAGAGAGAACTGAAAGCGCATTAGCGGAATACATAAAAGCGCGCGCACTTCGCGTCGCATCGCGTTCCGTGACAAGATCATCCGGTAAAGCCAGCGTCGCGGCGTGCCCGCCGAACGACGACCCGGCGCGGCGCTTCTCGAAAAAAAAAATAATAATAAACAACACGAGATGCGCCGAAAGAAGAGACGAGCCTCCCCCCGCATGTGCGATGCGCCCGCTACACGTCACGACCGGTATACCCGCAAACCACCGCAAACGGCGAAAATTCGCTCACTCTCACGCTTCCCTCGCCAAGCATGCTCGGTACCACAACGTTTCTCTTAATGAAAAATATATATAGAAAGAAAAAAAGACCACGGCGGCTCTCCACGACACGTGGGTCGCGCTTTGGAGGCGAGAAGCACGGCGAGGAATCGAGCACAAAACCAAAATTGGAAGAAACTGCGCGATGTAGAGAGAGGGACCTAGATTGACGACGCCAGGCCAGCCAGCAAGCACGCGCGTGTATTTGTGTGTGAATGACGGGGGTGTCGCGGCACAGACCCCCCCCCCCCCCCTCCCGCCTCTTCATCCTTCGAAGACTCGTCGCCGAATTCATAACGCAGTCACGAAAAAAAAAAAAAACTTCCGGCCACGCGAGAAAACGAAGCGGCTCTCGCTCGCTACCTCTTCACCTTCGCGTTTCTCTCATAATTCACCGTCGCGCGGCGACCACGACGACGACGATGAAGCAGAAGAGGGGTAAAAAAAGTGTAACGACGGACGCAAACAATGACCCCTGCCAGACGGCACGAAGAAGAAGGCGACTGCCGGAAAGGGGGCAACGGCTAACGTCCGGCTGCAGCTTCCACAATTGAAGAAGCCCGGCGCGCGAGGCAGTGCCCGCTTGCCGCAGCACTGGCAAGGACAACCGTTCAAGCAAAAAATAAACGAAACCAGACGAGGACGACGAGACGCGCTTATTTCCTTAGAACCGCGGATCGTCGTGACCGACGCCGAAAAAACGCGAGCGTCGAGAGGAGACCATTCCTGGCTCCTCCGAGGACCAAGCGCAGCGCCGTAGCGAAAGCTGCGCCCTCAAGACGCGGACAAAAACGAAACCGCACAAATACAGCCTGCGCTCTCTCTCACTCCCTGCT